GAAAGAAAAAAAAAAAAACACTTCCTCAGGGGAAAACCATTGATGTTAGACTAAAGGGCGTTAGCACCGTGTTAATGAAACCAGTGATGAAATATTTTTTGAATATTTAAAACACTACAAACAACATGATTTTTCTCTGCATTTAAACCATCTTTAATCCCCTGGTGGCCGGGAATGGACGCACAGGAGAAGTGGGCTGCAGTACACTGTACATTTACGGACGCACAGGAGAAGTGGGCTGCAGTACTCTGTACCGTTCCTGTCTTTTAGTTACATTTACATTAATTTTTAAAATTCAGAAATGACAAAAAAACATTACAATTTCTACTTTATCCTGCTTTTTTAAAATGTATTTTCCAAAAAAACATTACAATTTCTACTTTATTCTGCTTTTTTTATTTATTTGATTTATATCTGGTTTGGGATGTTTCCTGTTTCTCTCTCTGTAGGACATATTTCAGTTGGTGCTGTATCAATCAGGAGCTGTTGGGGAGGGGGTCGACATACACGGGAATCTCAGAGGGTGAGCGCAGAGTGTACATGTAAGTGTTAGATAGGAGGTAAAGGCTAGAACATAGAGGGAGAAAGTGAATGTTTCACACTGACAGAAAATCCACCTCCAACATTTACCCTCTGATCTGAGAGAAACGGCCTCGACAACCTGTCATCTCCGCTCTGGCACCTGTAATAACCCTGACGGCAGGAAGTCCAGGAAGTTTTGCAGTCGGTTCTGCTGTCAATTTGTGAGTGCTGTTCAGGAGCAATGATGTTGGCTGAAGGGACTGGACGTATGGATGGATGGATGGATGGATGGATGGATGGATGGATGGATGGATGGATGGATGAGGCTGTGTGTAGACAGTGTTTGCTAACTGTATGGAGAATGCCACGTTACTGAATATTATGACTACTTCAGATTTATTTCTTTTTTTAGTAACGTCTTTAGATACCAAAATGTCACATTGACAATTTGTCATTTTTATCTTGTTTTTACTTGACATTCCCTTCTTTTTATTTCTTCCTAATAATTGAGTTTTGTCCTTCCTGTTTTGCCATGTCCCCATTTTGGTAAAATACTGAAAAAAAAAAAAAGTAGTCTTATTTTTATTATAACCCTACGTCAGAAAAGTTGGAACACTATTATAAAATGTAAAAAAAAAAGACATTTGGATTACAGACATTATTTAACAGCGTTATTTTTGCTGACTTCATGCCTAAAAGATGACATTTTTTCTCTAACATCGTGGCCACAGGGGCTAAAGCTGAGGAAATACTGTGGGGTTTTTTGAAGTCTGTGCTGCATCGACAAATGTTCCTCGGGGCTGTGTCCTGTAAAAGTCTGGTCACATTTACGTGTGTGCAGCCTTGATCTGTCTTCTACTAACAATGCCATCAGGACGGGCTGGTAAAGTTAGCACTTTAAGTGGATTGTTGTTGTCGACTCACAGGTCACAGAGTCACGTCTGTTCCTGTTGTGTTTCTAAGACCTTTTCTTCTTTATCTTCATGCTGCTCTGTTTGTTGGTGTGAAGCGCTCTAATCACACCATCTTAATTATCCATTATCACAGCTCTGACGATGATGGGTTTTTGTTTCACCTCGTCGCAGAAAAGCACAAATTACTTTTGTTGAAAACTATCGAGCCAGCTCATTTCACCTGTAGGCCGCCGCCGTGCCGCCGCCGCCTCCTTCCAATCATGGTGCAGAGACTGAATCAGAGGAGGTTGGATGAGTCTGACTGAATCAGAGGAGATGAAAAAAAATCATTCGACTTATTTTGCTCAGAGAAAGCACAAGTGATTGCCTGCAGTATTTCCATGCAGTACTTTTAACAACTTGCTCATCAGCCAGAAGACGGCCGATGTCATATTGACAAGTACAGCTCGTACTGCACGTCTCCGTGGAGTACGAGCTTCATCGTTGGCCACGCGTTGACACTGATGTTGTTGTTTTTTTTTTTTACCATGTTGTCCAGATATTGAATGATGACTTTAGACAATGACATTCTAAGGTCACATCCCTGTGGTTATAGCAGTCCATAACAGTCCTGTAAGAATACACGGGGTCCTCGACTTATGTCGGGGTTCAGGTCCTGGCGGCGACGGAACTCAGATCTTTGCCGTTCATCGGAACTTGCATTACATTTCTTGGGGTGTGTATTGGTAAGAATCTGGTGATACGATACTACATGTATCATGATATGTATAACAATATGTATCACTATATGGGGGGAAATTATTTATTTTTATATAATGCAACTATTAACATGACGACATTGATTATATTTTTTTAAACAATTTAACAGAGGGATCTACATCTGTAATCACTGCAGAAGGAATAAAAGCAAAAAACAAATGTTAACAAAAAATCGATACGCTGTTGAACCCTCGCAAAAATTGCAATAAACATTCTGACCAAGTTGGAGCCTTAGATTAATATAAAACTTTTTTTATTAAAAAAAAATAAACATTTTGTACCAGATGACGTAGCTCATAGACCCAGGCATTACACCTGTGTTCCAGGGAGCTGCTTCATGACTGGAACAGTCAGGTCCAGGAGCGACGTCAGAGACGTGGTCAACTCCACGGCCAGAAGTTGTGAATCTGGCAGATCGTTGGAGCTTTAAATGAATATCAGACTAAATCACAAAACACTTGAAACCCGTTAGTGACTGAATGTAGACTGCTGTTCTCCTCCTCGGCCTGAAGGTCCTTTTTGGAATGAGAAATGAGAAGAAAACACTTGTAAAAATAAATGTGGCAGCGAGAAGGTTGACAGCAGAGGGTCAGCGCTGACGCACCTGCAGCTCTTCCCACCACAGAGAATCATCTTCCATCTTCACAGAGAGAGAAAAAAGGGAAATGTTCCTCCGACCCGTAGGCGCCAGAATCTCATACCTCTCTTTTCATGCTCCTCATGCAAAATAGACACTCGGGCAGAAAACTGCACCAAAGATCAGAGGAAGAGTGGTTGTGACGGATGTGGTGGAGTCGGCGGCAGCAGCAGCAGCAACAGCAGCAGCCGCAGCAGCCCCCC